GGAATATTTTAACTTCTTTCTTGATCTCCTCAGTAACTCACTGTTAGTTCATATGCGTGCTATCTTCATATCTTTGCTGGTTTCTAAGATTTCTCTTGTTGCTGATTTCTAGTTCTACTCCATGGTGGCTTTGGTAAGTTAAAAATTAGTTTTTATTTTGTTGTTTATTTGTTTGTTCTGGGTTTATGGCCTTCCATGTGATCAGTTGTACAGAAGGTCCCATCTGACTTTTTTTTTTTTAAAAAAAGTGTATTCTCTGTCTGTTGAATAGTATATTTATAAACATTTGTTGTATCCACTTAATCTATCGTATAATTTAATTCTGAGATGTCTTCATTGATTTCAGTTTGTAAGACCTCTCTGAACATGAGAGCAGGATATTGAAGTATCCACTAATATTGTGTTAGGACCTACATTTAAGTGATTTTTAACGTACTGGGTATGTATTTATTTGCATTCTTTAATCATCTTTTTTCTATGTACGCTCCTGCACCTCTCACTAAAAGGCTTAGTTTCATGATGCTTTTTTCTGTCCTCTGTTTCTCAGAGGAAACATGTTCAGTAAGAAATTTTCTGACAAAAGAAAACCATTCATAAGTATATTTGGGGCAAGAAAGTCTGTATCTTAGACCAGCACTGCAGTGCACTCTTGACAGAATATGCAGCGAGATTTTAACATCTTCTGAGAAGTTTCTTTGAAAAGTTAGGGCTTTCTATTTGATGTCAGAAAGTGCTTTAAGTCATTCACGTTTAAAATTACAGAGAGGGTGCTGGACAGACCACCCAAGCTGGGTTCAGAGCAGTGTGTGCTTTAAACCTGGTGCTCTTCAAATAAAGATTGTCTTTCAAGTAAGGTCACTGCGCACACAAGCTTTTCCTCACCCTGAAAGTTTGGTTCCCTGTCCCTTTCTTCCTCATTTGAACATAGTTTCTTGAACAAGTTATGTGAACCTAAGACCATTCAGAGGTAAAGTCTTTCTTTACCAGAGAGGATTTTTTTGTTGAGCACAGAGGATGGTAAAGAAGATGCACTCCAAACCAGTAGCTGTTTGCTTTTTTATGTGTGTATTTCCATATGCCTCATAATAGTTGACCAAAAATTCAAGACAAGCTGTAAAAATTTGATTGACTGAAACACAAAAATATTAATTAATACTTAAGGCTATAAAAATACAGATAGCTGCAAAAGCAGCTTTGGTGCAGTCCTAGAGTTGAACAGTTCAGCACAGCATTCTCACAGGATTTTTAATAGTTTTTGGAGACCTATAATTTTGTATATCAATTAACCCTACCATTAATTTAAATAGTAGTACACAATACACTATTAGCATAAAGGCAGTTGTCAATTAGCAGAGAAATCAGAGAATCTATTCTCCATATGTGTCACTGCAAACACATGAAGGGCAGTCCTCTTCATTCATCTCAGTGGTGATCACTTGAGGCTCCTGTTTTATGCATCATATCAAAATAAACTTAAAATAAACTGACACAGTGAATTATGAAAACCATAAAATTATCGCTTAGAGATAACTTTTAAAACATATACATGAATGATTACCTAATTTTATAATTTGAAAGTATTTTTAAGTCATGAAAAGAAAACAAGAAACAAAGAAATTAGCCTAGATGAATGGACAAAGGAAACATGATAATAAACACTATGCATTTTATTAGATCATCAAGAAAAATGAAATATTAAAAAATGAAATATTTAAAAATTTTAAAATATTAAAAATTGATGGATCTGAATATTGTTATATTATTAGGTCCAGGCTCAGAATAACAAATATTGCATATTCTTCTTTTATTTGTGGATTCTGGTTTTACATGTGAATAAGTGTATGTAAGTGTGTATAAATTCTGAAATTAGAATGGGGATTATAAGGGGAAATATAGTTTTCATGGGCTATGTAGTAGAGTATGTGTCGCATGAAAGCAAAACAGGACACTGACCATGGGTAGAAGAGTACAAGCAGGGAGCCGGGGAAACAGAATCAGCAGAATAATTACATGTGAAAAATGCCATAATGAAACATGTTACTTTTTAAAAAATAAAAGCAAAAAATAAAGTAGCATTTTTATTTTGTGCTCAAATGTATGAAGATGTAGCCAGTATTGGCCATAACATGGGTGGGAGAGGTACCTTTCTCAGAGTAAAAATTGGTTTAAATTTTTTTTCTGGAAATCAGTTTGAATTTGGCAGTATGTTTGAAAACCTTAAAAATGTTCATTTCCTTTTACCCATTTCATCATACCCAGCAATTATGAAAGGAGCAGCAGGTATTTACTTCCTAGACTTCATTGTGTCTGCGTGCAGGCAGGTGATTGAGGCCTTAAGCCAGACTCTAACTCTAACGTTAATGAAGTAAAGCAGGGGTATCCAAACTCTAGTCTTTAAGAGTTGGAGGCTACTGTTTATAAAGCCCAAAGTCACATTCAGGGTGAGGCATATCATGCCTGGTCGTGTTTTGGATTTGTTTTGCTTGTTTAGGCCAGTCCGGTAATGTTTGATTTGGGTAGCAGACCTAGAAGTTTTCCCAGATTCTATTATATATCTAACAGCCTGTCTGCTTTTCTGTTTAAATCAGCTGGAGCTTTTCTCCAGCAGTTCATAACAAAGAATTCTCAGTCACAAAAAGCATTATTTATGCTATTGAAAGTTGGGCACAATAGTAAGAGATTGATTGAACTAAAATTTTAGTCCATAAGACAAAGCACTGTTCAGTATTTTTAAATTTTTGTAGTATTTTTTTTCCATTTCCTTTCTCAGAAAGGAATTCATAGAAGACGTGTCTCAGAAAAGTACTGGAAGACTTCTGGACCTGAGTACAAAATCAGTGATGCTGCAGAGATGTCCTGGGGCTCTGGTACATCAGAGGCCACATGTTTTAGGAAGGAGCTCAGCTGTCTCTACCCCCACAGTTGTTAAGCTTCTCAAAAGTTACAGGTTAAATTTTAGCTGTATATTAGTGCATTTGTTTCCTCTGCATTCCAAGGGATGTGTCTGATTAAGTCTTTGGGTTCTTTGAGAAGGGAGAGCCCTCCATCTTCCACTTTCACTTCCACTTCAACCAGTACAATTCTTATTTTCTGTTTTGTGGTTTGTGTTTCTGGGTAAGATTCTGCTTCTCTTTTAAAAAATTCAAAGCTAGTATTATAGGAGATACTAATTGTTACTGAGAAGTACTTACAACAGGAGGGAAAGGATGTTATTTGCAAATAGTTAATTTTCTCTTAATAGTGAAATTATTTATACATCGCCTTCTAAAATATACTATTGTTTTTATTATCATAAACACCTAATTTTACCTTATGGAAAAAACACTTGCAGTCTTATTCTTGTTATCAAATAACTGTAATAAAATTACATAATGAGTCCTGCTAATTATTAAGTATTTCTCTACCTACTTTATTATCTTTTAATTCTCATGACAATCATGGGAAACTTAAATATTATCTAGTTTTTAAGCATGTGAAATAGGTGACGGCATGCCGAATTAGAAACTTGTTAAAATCTTGTCTGATAAACTGGGACTCTGCCCTAGAAGTATCTGGTTCCTGCAGTGCTACTCTTCACTAGTCCACGCTACTGTAACTGACTTCCAGAAACCCAGCAGTTCTGGGTCAGGACCAGCCATATCAAGCATTATTACAACAGGGACGCCTCACTTTCTTTTTCCCACTGAAGCGTTAGCCCTGGGCACTTACCTGTATTATCTGTGTAGCACAATGTATTGCATATCACAGGGACCTTCAGTATAGGATGGATGGATGGATGGATGGATGGATGGATGGATGGATGGATGGA